CGCTTACATTTAACATAATGTGACACCTTATAATATAGTCATTTTAAGTCAGTAGGACAAGGGAGGATCATTCAATTGAAACACTGGTATAATTAGTTGAATATCAGAGGAGTTTTGTCTTTTTAAATTTAGAATGTATCTCATCACATGTAATATAACTTTTATTGTGTCATGTGACAAGAAAGTAAAAAAAAAAAAAAATCAGATAAATATAAGGTGGAAAATATATTTCCAAGCATCAATACCTAATTCAGAAACTATCCAGAAGAGACATTAATGGATAAAATACTATATAAATTTAAAGAAGGTCAAAAATTAAATAACAAATAATAAGTTGTCTAAATGTTAAAATATTAATGATTGATGTACCAACAGAAAGTCATTAAAAATGTGAGTAAGCTTTTATTGGAATGAAAGCTGTAGGAAGGCAGAAATGTTTGTTTCATTCACTGCAATAGATGCTCAATAACTATCATTGGAATTTACAGATGGAAGAAATACAAATGGCAAATAAATGGATGAAAAGAATTTCTCAGCCTCAATAATATTTGAATAAATGAAAATTAAGTGAAATGCACAGTTTAGATTATCCAAGTGACAAATATAAAAGCAAAATCATAGATCTGTAATAATTATAAAATGTAATGACCATTATCGACAAACTTTGGGAACACAAACACACACACGCGCACACACACACACACACACGTGCACAAACACACATACATAGGGCCTTAAAAATGAACACACCAATTGATAAATAATTCTCCAACTAGAAATTTATGCAGATAAAACTTTTACCAAAATGTTCTTTTTGGCCCACTGGTTGCCCCTTAACTGACATCTCATCTTAACAACGTCCTCTTTCTTCAATTGTGTTCATCTGAATTATTTTATGAACATACAACTTATATTTTGCAGTGATAATTTGCAATTAAAAAACAGGTTTATAAATGAGAGTTTTAGTTTTCAAAAATTAATTAATAAATTAAGATTTTCATGTTTCAACATGAAAATATTTTAATGTAGAAAAAAAAAGTGCCATCAATTATCATATCTAATGAGAAAAAGAACTTAGGTGATATAAAATGTCAATGGTGCCAACTCACCTTCTAATGTCCCACATAAATGATGATATGTAGTAGTTTTTAAAAGTAGAGAAAAAAATTGTCATCAAAAGGCAAACAATATAGGCAAGAACACATAAATATTATTTACCAGCAAGTAGAAACATGTTCACAATACATATAAATGTACTGCTTGAGTTGTTTTGTTATATATGAGAAGACTCAGTTAATGTAAACAGAAGTCTTTTTCTAAAGTTGAATTTGGAGATCAGTTTCCAGTAATAATTCTCAGTTCTGAAATATGAAAAAAAAAATATCTGAGGACTAAGTTGAAGCGATTCATCTGAAAAATAGAAAAACTGATATTAGTATTTCAAATAGTTTAAAAAGTTATCACAGATCAACTATTTTGGCTGACTTACTCAAAATCACCAAATATCTTGAAGCATGAGACCATATATTTGATATTGTGCAAAGCCATTGTTTTGTGTACATGATATAAAAATTATTTGGTCTTTTTATAACAGAAGCATGACCAGTTATTTAGGTTGTAGCTTTGTAAGTTTGAACATACAGAAAATGATAAGATCATATTTTAATCAACATTGTTGAGGTATAATTCATACATAAATAAATTTACTTTTAGTTTTCAATGTTTGAAAATGTATATACCCATGCATATGCTTCTATACTTTCATTTTTTATCTATTATCTATTCGCTATCTGTCAATATCTATCTGTCTATATATATAGGGTTTTTGGCATACAGTTTAATAAGTTTAAAGGCCTATATAGATTCATGTACTCATTACAAAGTCATGATAAAAATTCCAAAAGGTCCAAAACCTGAAAAAAAAATCTACTGTTGTACCTTTGTAGTCAAACCCTCTGTTCTTGATCTAATGTCATGGTTATGCCAATCTATCAATTTGCAGTTCATCTTATGTCATTTTTAATAGCCATAGACATAGGTTCCAGTCTTAAAAGGTAAAATTTACAAATCCTATTTTGCCATTTATGAAACTATTCCTTCTAAAAGAGAAAAATGTCAGCTCTTAAAGATTATTATATTTGCATAACAAAAGGGCTTGGTGTCCAGCAGACAAGTAATTCTATTATTAAACACAAAGAAAATACTTTCAGAAAAGAGTTCTATACTTAAAAACATAAGGTCCACAATCTGTAGAGTTACATTTTAGAAACCATGATCCTAGATAAAAAGATCAATAGTCAGATATTAAACTTTAGTCAGTACTTTATCCAAGGGCTTCAAAGAGCTTCACCAAGAGAAATTATTTGTCTTTATAAAAGGTAAGATAAAAATGCCAATGCTTTCTGAAAATCACTGGACACATTAGTACTAAATCACACAAATCCATTTGAAACAACCCATTCACATGTATCTGTTAAAAGAATTAAATGTCTCTGAATTATACTGGCCTTTCAATATTTTATTTTTTGTTTCTTTCTGGGCAGAAGTAAAACATATCGAATGAGTTCCACATCAACATGATCTCTTAAACCTGAAAAAGTATGTGATATAGAGTTGGTTCCTCTTCTCTGACAAGATATGTCTCTGGTTTAGTGATTTGAAATGGACAAGGAACAACTGTGCAGTGTCTGTTTTGCATTTCAGTTCATTATAGACACTACAAGACTTTAACAGGTCTTTGAATCTGATTGCTTCCTCCATTTGCATGAACTGTCCTGTAAGTTCTTGCATTAAACAATTTTTGTTTGGGCTTATTAAATAATAAAATGGACTCTTATAACAGACATAGGTGCCTTGAACTCAAGTTCAGTTCATATTAAAAATGACAGGATGTTGGAATTCTTTTTCTTATTGTAATAGCTTATTTATTCTCCCTTTGCCATCATGATCCTGTAGTCTCCAACAAGTAGACTGCCATGTAAAGCCAGATCTAAATATCTCCTGTGATGGATCCTACCTTAATTTTACTTTGCCAAAGACGCTTCTGTGATTCAGAGATTTTTAGCAAGTGATAGGGAACGGCTGGCAATGCCTCCTCCTTCTGAGTACAGTATACGCTTCGCACGCTGTTTCCTTCTGCCAAATCATCCTTAGAGTCAGCAGAGTACTTAAGAGACCTTCAACATTCACCAATCTCTGGTTGAGAGATACAGCAAGGAGACAGAATTCTGGATTTACATATACATCTTATAGCAGAGATGCTGAAAATGTTTTTTTCTAACTTCCAGACAGGTATTTTTTACTTAGCTATTACTATCCTTATATTATCCATGCAGATTTTTCCATGTGTCAACTACCAATATGATGCACAGTATTTTAAGGAGGGTAAACCTTTAAAGTATTTGGCAAATGCAAGCTTACTTACCTTTCCATTCCATCTACCTCAAAATTTAATAGTTCTGAATAAAAAAATATGCATTAAAATTAGTAGGATTGTTATGATCACCACTCATAACGTTACTATGAATGATTGCTCTTATTTTTTCAAAGAAATTGTCTCTAGAAGTTAATTTCACTTTTCATTGGAGCTTGGCCCCCTGGAAATGATTAACTTGACAGGGAGTGGAAGAGGAAAAATTTTCAGGAAACATCTGGCAAATTGCAAAGAAATGCTAAACATTTTCTTCCCCATAGCATTTATTTTTATTACCTTATCTTTCTTCCATATAACATTTTAATCAATATACATGGATACATCAACACATGCATACACACACACATATTTATGTATAATGTGCCTGGGTTTATATGGAACATATAAATGAGGTGTTTTTTTTTTTTTCAATTAGCTCCTATTTCTCTTAACTTCATTTTGGCAACATCAAGCTGTCATTTTTGTAAAATTTTATCATGTATATATACCTCTAAAGTCTTCATGGTAAGGGAGTGATTGCATCCAATTTGTTACCCAGGGAGTACTCAGCTCATAGGTTCTTGGCCTCTTTAACTCTGAAGAATGGGGAAAGGGGCCCTGGAGGGGTGAGTTTACCATTCAAATAAAAATCCTGGACCCAAATTCTTTTGCAGAAGAGTGATTTATCACACAGACAGAAAGAGAGAAGACAGCTCCCACGCTGTTGTGGGAAGGGACCCAGAGAAGGAATCCGTTGAAGAAGGAGCAGCTGAAGTTTTAACTCTTGAGTTATTCCCTCCCCATTCATGTTCTCATCCAATGAGAGGAGTTCTTTCAAACTTCCTCTGGATTGATTGATCTTTGACTCTGATACCAGATTGGCTACTTGTTTTACAGCCCTAAGTCACAGAGCCCCCTCCTCCCAGAGCTTTCAGGGGAATTTGGGACAAAAGGGCCCTACCTGGTTTTCCCCAGTGCAGGAAGATCAGAAAAAGAACTCTCCCTGGCCCGTGTGGAGGAGGTGCTCAAAGAGTCCCAGCGGCCTGAGGCGGGGAGCCAGGAAATTCCTGCACTTGAAGCCATGCCCCTCGTGGACCCAGGAAGAGAAGGTTCTCTAACCCCATTCCTCAAATTGTTTCTATTCATATCTAAATATAATGGTTTTGTTTTTCAAATCCTATTCAATTTTGTCCTGATTGTGTCATTAATGATATTTTGCAACACAATTTATATTTTATAGAAATTCCCTTGCAATTTTCATGTGTATGTAATCTAATTGGGAGCTCCTTGCAATGATTTTTCCACCACTCTAAAAGGATCTATAAGCTCAGTATAAGAGTGTCATATTGGGATACTGAAGGAGATCATGGGGGTTTGTTAATGCCAGTGTGGTTTTTGCTCCATTCTTTCACCAGAATTGCTGTTCACATGTCACCAATGGTGTTAATAAAAATCATCCAAATGCATGTTTTCAGTCTGTATATTGCACTACCATTTCCTCTTTCATGAAATTCTGTAGCTTCCTTGATGTGTCTGTTCTAGGTGGCTTTGCCAGTATCTTTTCCTCTACCAGATCTTTTAATGTTTATATTGCTTTGTCTGTGTATTTGGGGTTTATTTGCTTATCTTAAGACACCTCAGCCAATCCTGAATCATTCAATTACTGTCTCAATGCCAACCTACCTCAAATCTATTCATCTGTTCTTTCGTACATTCTCTTACTCCTGAGCTCCATACCTGCAGATGAGAGAAAATGTATTCTTAGAGGTTAGAAAGAAACTTGCTGGAGTAAACAGCTGAGCTGAATATTCTTGGATGCCTCTAATTAGTTGAAGGATAATGGTAGTTTGGATTAAGCAGTGAGCATGATGATTATACCAAATTTAGGCAAAAAAAAAAAAATCTTGAGCTCAATTCCTATTTCATCAGTCATATTTTGAAAGATATAACTTCTGGAAAGTTTGATTTTCTCCTCCAAAAATGAGATGAGTAACACTAAATAGTTGTTTTAAATATGAAGTAATGTATGTAAAGCACTTAGTACAATGCTTGCCCTGTACTAAGTATTTAATATAAATAGCAACATTTGTAATAAATGATTTCTTCATCATAAAATCTCTACAAATTCAACTACAGTAAGAAAACCCATTTATAGTGAAAGAGAGATGCTGTCCTACCTAGGAAGATCAACAAAGTGTTCAAGAGACACAGAGAGCTCTTTCTATTACCCTAGGATCCTTGGAACCCTTTTTAGGAGGGTTTTTAAAAATGCAGAAGGAAGTAGGTGATAGAGACTATTTGCACTGAATGAGGTGTTATGATTGTGAGAGAAAGAGAAGCCGCACACATGGGGTGGGGTGAGTCTAAGAGAATTTGTCTCTATTTTTTTTCATTAAGAGATTAAGAGAAGGAAAGGATTCTGAAAAGCTGCAGGGTTTAAGAATAATGACAGGAGAGAAAGGTGGAGTTTTTAAAAATACCTTTGCATTTTGAATTAGTTCATTCTGGTGTTATTTAAGAGGGGCAATAAAGATTAGACAATCTTTAAATTCTTAGTGGCTATTGAACTAAGATTTTTACCCACAACACCATGGAGTGAACTGAGCCACAGGTTTTGTTTGGGCATTATTACTCTATTATTATTATTATTATTATATTTCCAAGTGCCTCCCTGACATTTCTACTTGGATATTTCACTGAGTTCTCAAATCTAATATATGCAAAACTGAAATCATGGCCTTCACACCCTAACTTCCACTTCTTCCCCAGCCAGTAGTATTGCCAAGTCCCCCTCTGCTGAAGGCATAAATCTAAAGAAAACCATTGGTCTTTCTTCCCAAAATCCCACATAAGTTCATTTTTCACCGTATCCTACAGAGCCGATCTCTAAATAGCTTTTGCACTTTGTCCACTTCTTTGTAAGCCTACTCTGTATTACTTATGTATTTTAAATCTTATAAAATTAGTAAAATACGTTGTAGAAAGCTAGATCATACAAACAAGTATAAAAATAATGACATTATATGTAAATATATGTATCTGCATCAAAATAAGGTTATACTACAAATGCCATTTGTAATCCTTTTTTTTTTTTTTTCAGTTCATGATCTCTAACCTACAAGGTCGTTATGTTTTTCCTCTTACATAATTGCAATTCTATATTCGTTTTCCTTGGTGTCCTAAATATGTGCTTTAAATTTGGTTTGTGCAAACCAGAATGCAATTCATAATCATAACCTGAATCTAAATATTCTGTCTCTTAGATATCTTTTAACCTGGCATAACTGCACCACCACTGTTTTTGGTTTTGTTTTGGTAGCCACTTATTAGTTGAAGGATAATGGTAGTTTGTAGTAAGCAGTGAGCTGAACAGTCCACTTTGTGACACTGATGTTTTGAAGGACCTAGCCGGTGATAAACTGCAGTATTGTTTCTTCATGATTTCATTTAACTTGTTTCTCCACTTCCTGTATTTCTCATAAACTGCCAATTATATTTTTTATTTGGAATCCAACATAAATGATGTGATATGCTTCATATGTCCTGATACCAAGTGATATATGATCTGGATAATTCAGCATTAATTGTGTTAAATTTCAGCATTGGATTAGGATGACAACCTGATACCTCCATTTCGTATTTATGTCTTTCTTTTAAGAAGCAGACAATAATCTAGCAGGATGCTGCTTTACCACTACATTAATTTCCAGTTTAAACTAATCACAGACCTACTGGTATTAAAAACATATAGTAACCATGACTGTGACAAACACTTCACTAGGAGTTGAAGGATGTTGATTTTTAAATTTGATTATTTCATCTACATTATAATGGATATTTTTTTGGCAAAGTAAAGCTTTTCCTCATCAACAGGGGTCATCCTTTATTTTTAAAACCAGATTCTACTGGAAAAGTAGCATAAGAACTTATTTCTTAACCCTTTAGTTACCAATTTGCAAGACTGGTTTAGTAGTTTATTTACATTATGTTGTGTAAGATTTTCTGGTTTTCTCTTACATAATTATTATTTTTTAATCATAAATTGTAATTGATTTGATGTACTTCAAACCCCTAAAATTGTTTTCCCCCCTCTAAGTTCCTTTGTCTTGTTAAATGGGATCCATCGCCTCTCTCCTTCCCTCCCTTCCTTCCTTCCTTTTTATAGTTGGTTGTGTGTGTGTGTGCGTGTGTGGCAAATTGTGTTTTCTGAAAATGGTCACAAGTTTATCCTATGCCCAGATGCTCTTCCTTCAATGTAACATTGGCCTTTCTTCAACAAGAGATGCATTCTGCATTCCCTCCTGCTTAAATTTGGCTGGGCCTATGACTGTAACAGAAGTGACACAATATGACTTGCTAGGCTGAGTTAGAAAAGACAACTTAGCTGCTGCCTGGTCCTCAAGGGATGTTTGCCCTTGAGATGTGGCCCCATAAGCCTATGGGGAAGACAAGCAAACACTGAACAGCCACATGTAGGTTTCTGGCCATAGCCCCAGGTGAAGTTGCAGCTGACAGTCAGACATATGAGTGAAGGAGCCACTGGTTATTTCAGCCTCCAGCCTTTCAGATGACCCAGCTGACTATGAGGGAAACAGCAAGAAGATGACCCCACTGAGTTCTATCCCAATTGAAGATTCATAAGCAAAATAAATGTTCTTGTTTTAAGTCATCCATTTTTGTGGTTGTTTTGCAGAAACAGCTAGAATTTTTTTAACAGAATTTTTGCTATTATTTCAAGTTTACAGAGAATATAATAAGGCACACAACTCTCATATATTCTTTATCGAGATTCCACAATTGTTTACATTTTGACTACTTTGCTTTACCAGTTCCCCTGGAAATATGCTTTTTTCTGAACCATTTGAGAATGAGTTGGAGACATCATGTCCCTTTACAGCTAAGTAATTTGCTGTGTGTTTTCTAATAAAAATATATTCACTAACATGACAGTTTAATTATCCAAACCAGGAAATTAATATTAATGCAATATAATTATCTAATCCACAGTCAATATTCAAGCTGCCAATTGTCTCAATAATGTTCTTATAGCTGTGTTTTTCCCAGGCTAGAATCTAATCCAGGATCATTCATTCCATTGAGTTTTCATGTAGTTTAGTCTTTCTAAATCTCAAACTATTTTTCAACGTTTCCTTGGCTTTTTTGACTTTGATATATGTGAAGAGTATGGACCAGTTATTTCGTCCAAATAACTGACCTCCAACCTGGGTGTATCTGATATTTCATCGTAATTGAATATACCTGTTTGCCATAAATATCACTGAAGTGAGTTTGTGTTCTTGTGAGTGCAGCACATTATAAAAGACACATTGTTGGTTTGCCTCAATGGTGGTGAAACTGACTTTGATCACTGTTCAAGACGGTTACTGCCAAGTTACTCTACTGTAAAGTTAATTTTTTTTTCCATTTGTATTTAGTAAATAATTTGGGGACAGGCACTCTGAGGCTATGCAGATATCCTATTTCTCATCCAACCTTTACCCACTCATTGTGCCATTCCCTACATTTTCTTATCTCATTATTCTTTCTTTATTAGTTGTCATTCTACTAGAAGGAAGAGATTTCCCTTTGATTTCTAAAATTTATTTATATTACTATGGATTCATGGATTTTAATTCTATTTAATGGGTTATATATCCATTATTATCATGACTTATTCTTATGGCCAAATTATCCCAGCTTTAACCAACAGGAGCATCTTCAGGCTGGCTCTATTATTCTTTTGCCATCATTCTTTGAGTACTTCTTAATTTGTGGTACAAGAATATGTTCCATTCCTTTTCTCAAAGGGGCCCTAGTTCCTAGGAATAAAGAATGCTACTTAGAAATCAATTTCAGATTACTAGAAATGCTTATTGTTTCTTGAGTATTATTGCTTCTAGGCATTCAGAGAACAGAGCTAGGAAACACACAAACATACATACATACACACAGAGTCAGGATTTGATCAAGGAAGAAAACCCACTATGCATAATCTAGAATCAAGGTTGTATATTAGAGATTAGATTACACACAATCATGGGAGATGCTCGGAGTATTTATATAAATCTGTTACTTTAGCATCCACCTCCAGGCAACACTGGTAATGAAATATGAAGTGAGGAAGACTGGGGAAGACCAAAGAAAAGTATAATAAATCTGGACAATCTGGAACTGCATCTGTCTGTCACTGCCTCTAATGTGATGAGGCAGAAAAATCTGGTGCTGCAGCCATGGAGCTGCACGTTTACCTGGCGCAGGGTTGAGAAAAGCTAAAGATGAAGTAGGAGGTGCAACTGCTGCCAGCCTGGCTGCTGCCTTCCTCAGTGCATCCTCGCTTCCACCACTAAATCAACAGACACGTATACGAACTGTAATTGTCTGTGCCCTACATTGAACTTGCAGATCGCACATAAGTCTCTCTTGGCCAGTCTTAGCTAAGACATTTAAAGAGGGATACTGGGGGAAATGTAGCTCCAATTGAGCTAAGTGGACCCAGTAAATACTGCATCTGATGGTCTTTATTAAAGAGTAAAGAGAAAAAAAAGCACTTGCCAGATCAATAGCTGCATTGTGTTGATTTCCTACAACTGCAATTAGACTTAACATGTGATTAAGTTTCAATAATCACTGTCATTTTCCAAAATCCATCTGTCGTTTGCAAGTCAAATAGGTGAGCTGAGTGGGATGAAGTGGGAATCGCTACCTCCTGAATCTTTCAAGTCTTTGATGATGATGCTAATTTCTGTAGTCCCTTTAGAAACAAGGCAATGCTCTCTGTAAACAGAACTCTCTCATGGCTTCCAGTTTATCCTTTCTACCACAGTTGCTCAAGCTAGGTAACCACTTTGGAGTTTTTGCCAGTTGCTGAGTATATTTGTTTTCAAATATTTATTTCTCAACTAGGGAAAAGGGACAGGCAGGTGGTTTTGTGAAACCACTGAGCCCACTGTGAGTGAACCCAAGATAAAACTTGATAAGCTTTATATCCCTAAGCTGCTACAGTGACTTGAGGACCACAGTGTCTCTGAAGTCTAGAAAATAGTATTACTTCAGACAGTGTCCAGTAATTTTTCTCATCTCCCAATGCATACTCATCCTGGTAAATGTCCAAAATTCTCTTTGGAAAGGCTAAAAGAAAGACATATAGTATACATCTGTGGCTATGTAACATGGTCCTTCCTCATAGGAATCTGTCCTCATTTTTATTCAAAGGGCTCTGGGCCTGTAACTGGCTCGAGTCTTGGACATGACTGAGGGCAGTGACTGTCTGTGGTGCTAATTAAAGTCAGACTTCTGTTAGCCAGATATATTAGTTCCCTGTTGCTGCTTTAACAAATAACCATAAGCTTAGTGCTTAAAACAGCATATTTATTTATTATCTTATAGTTCTGGAGGTCTGAATTCTAAAATCTTGGGTCAGTGGGTTGCATTGCTTCTTCAGGCTCTAGGAGATAATCTGTTACCTTGCCTTTTTCAGCTTTTAGAGGTCACCTGCATTCTTTGTCTTGTAGCTCTTTCCTCATAGCATTTCAACCTCTTTCTTCCATTGTTGTATCTCTCACTTACCAATCTGATCTATTGCTTCCCTCTTATAAGGACCCTTGTGATCACATCATACCTATTCATATAATCCAGATGATCTTCCCATCCCAAGATCCTAAACTTGATTGCACCTGCAAAGTTCTATTTTCCACATAAGGTAAAATTCACAGGTTCCTGGGATTCGAATGTGGACACCTTTGGGATGGTCCATTCGTCATTCTCCCATGCCACACCCACAGCTTTTTGTTTATGCAATTCAAATAAGACCTTAATAGGAATGTCTTTCTATTGCAGTTCTGTTGACACTATGATCAGTTAGTCAACACCAAAGATGTCTTGGATCTTAGATATCAGGGTTGCCAAATCAAGCATACTTTCTGCACCCTTGGTGAAGGTAATACTACCTGGAACTTCCTCCGGGAGACAGAGAGTGGGTGAGCAGGTCTTCCATGTTAAGTTCATTCTAACGTTCTGATGTCCATAAGCCTTTAGATTCTTTCCTCTACAGTATACCAATGAACTAGTGGCATTTTATCTTAATTTAATGTAGGTCACCTCTTTTCCAGGCTTCTGTCAACACATACGGCATACTGTTAGAGTCACATCAACCATCAGCACTAACACATTACATCCAGAATCTCTGCTTCATAAAGCTGTGTTAATGAATTTGTCATAGTCCAACATTTTATTTCTTCTGACAGCCCTGAAACAATGCACTTAGGTTACATTCCCAAACATGTCACCCAGGTTTCTGCCATATACATTGGCAAAATATTGTCGGTCTTTTGATATGCATTTTACTTCTTCATGGGTCATGCTATTTAACTTACCTTCAGGGGCCTGACAAGACTCGAATCTGATTGCAGCCCTAGAAGTAATGAAAGGTGGAGCGGGGGATATCTTCTGAAGAGGATCAGCTATCCCCTGAATATTACCTCAGGGGAGACCAGTAAGAATTCTTCAGTCAAGGAGAAACTAACCACCTCAATGTCCTTGGGAAAATGTACATGTTGAAAATCTCCAGGACCATCTGCACTGATTCTTTCATTTTTATTCCATTTTCAGGGTTCCACTTTTTCACAATATATTACAAAAGAAACCCAGCTAATATGAGAATTTGGTTAGCATTATAATTTAGCTGTCCTAAGGATTAAACTGTAGTTTTATTTGTTTGTCATGTTTCAGCCCTGTGGCTATAGACAAAAGGGCTTCCATTAGGGATGTCGTAGAAGCTTTCAGGTTTTTCACATTACTGAGTTGAGAATTTATGGCTATGATCTGCTTATTGTTATTCTGCAAGCTCTCCTGTGCACTGAGAAGCAATCAAACAAACCCATTAGAGTACTTATTTTAACAAAAATGTTCTAGGGCAGGAACTACTCAATCACCTAAAATTTTGCCTTCTATAGGCCCTTTATGACAATTACCTACAAGTGATGGATGGCCCATTCCTGCAGTCACAGCACTTTGGGAAGCCAAGATGGGAGAATTGCTTGAACTCAGGAGTTTGAGACTAGCCTGGGCAGCAGAGTAAGACCTCATCGCCACACAAAATCAAAAATTAGCCAAATGTGGTGGCACACGCCTATAGTCCCAGCTACCTGTGAAGCTGAGATAGGGGAATCTTTTGAGCCTGGAGGTCAAGGCTGTAGTGAGCCATGATCATACCACTGCACTCCGGCCTAGGCAATAGAGCAAGAACCTGTCATTAAACTAAATAAATAAACAAATAAATAAATAACTGTGTTGCCATTGCTTGTCATAGACCAACAGTGTCCCCTTTCCCACTGACAATATGGTCAGCAAACGCTTCCAATCTAATCCAATCAGAGCTTCAATTTCAGATAATGCCAAAACAATCCAAGGAACTTATTCCTAAAGTTTTGTTTCTCTGGAACTATTTCTAATACCAGATTATCAGCAAGTGTTTGGTCAGATAAGTGGAATTAAGTAAGGTACAATAAGGAAATCAACATAGTAATTTGATCTTAAACAATCTTGGGAACACGTTAAACTGTTTATTTAAGTTTGTACCTTCTGCATCTGGTGTTGGGCATGTATTCTTCAGGGCTAGTAAATGGGGAAGGAAGATAGGTATGAAGTGGGGGAGACCAAGAGCATACCTCCTCTTTCTTTTCCCATCCCCAACCTTAGCAGTTGGATACCCTGAATAATAAATGGGTGCTCTTCAACATGGAAATGGAAGCACCTCTGCCCCAGGAATAGGAGAAAAGGTGGAGATCTGGCAGAGGCTGCCTGTGCAGCTATCATCCAAACAAGGTGAGGCTGGTGACCACGTGAGTCAGCCACAACAGCCCTACCCTAAGTTATCTTCAAGAAATAAAGATGGCTACTGCTCCATTGCTGCTTTTCAAATCTCACTCAGCTTTTCCTCTGGCTGACCTTGTCCTAAACATTTAGTGAGGAAAAATGTGAGAAACTAATTCCAGCTCGGAGAAGTATAGTGGGTAGAGCTACACATGATATAAACATGGACACACAAACACATTCATTAGACTGATTTTTTTCTCTGTATTTTATTAAAACCCATAAATTGATATGGATAGTTATAGTTTCCATTCAGTAATGTATAGTATATATTCTACATCTATAACACAGAGTCCAACACGGTAGAGTGTATGCTAGTCTTCCCCCTTTTTTATTTTGTACTTTCCTAACAGTGAGAAAACTGTCTCTCTTTACTCTCAATTTGTTACTCATTTGTTCAAGACTAAAAAACATATGTCTTTCAAAGTTGCTAATAATACTACTGTGAAAAAAGCAAACTTGCTAATTAGGGATTGCTATGTGCTTATGGTTCCTTTATAAAGGTAACATTTACATAAAGGGGAATGCAAATTTTTAAGAGTGTAATTCCATGAGTTCTGGCAAATGTATACAGATAATTTGTCCTTACACCTCTCAAGTTATCAAACAAGTTCAACAACCCTAGAAAGTACACTCATGTTCCTTTCCAGTCAATTCCATACAACCCCTTTTCTGATCATTTTCCCTTTACATTACTTTTGACTATGTTAGAATGCCATGTAAATGGAATCACCTACTGTACAACTAGGTTGTTTTGCTCAACATAAGTCAAATGTATTGTTGCACATGTCAGTCATTCGTTACTTGTTATTGCCAAGTAGCATTCCATTATATAAACATAACACAATTACCTATTCACCTTCAGATGGGTATTTTGGTTGTCCTGTGTTTGACTATCGTAAATAAAACAACTATTAAGAAGTCCTTTTTTCTGTTATAAATAAAGCATCTATAAAGTCCTTTTTTTGAGAACCTATGTTTCACTTCTCATGGGCAGATACCTAGGAGTGGATATAAATGGATATGAGAATCTACAGGTTTGCCTTGTACCTTTCTTGTCCTAGAACTGGAATCACTCATTTCTGAAAGAAGCCTAATTTCTTAGGTGGGAAATCATATTTTAAAACAAACTCTGGTGTCTATGGGCCCTCAACTGTATTGGAGCAATGTTGCTTCCAGGCTCTTTTACTGGAAAAAGCTAGATGATAGGGATTTTCAAAACCCACTGGTTTATGTTGGTACTTACAATTCAATTTTAACGTCTTAGTATTTCCCTTCATTTCTCCAACTTCTTATTATATTCCTTTTTCCTTACCCAAAAAATCTTGATTCTGAACATCATTAACACAATTTCTTAACTATATTATCCCTTGATGAAAAGAAACTAGTTTCAAAATATTAACAAATAAAACTTCTTTGGCAATATATTTTTTTAAAAAAACCTACTTTTAACAAAAATTACTTAGTAAATTTAATTTTGTTATTTCTTATCCCAAACATCATTCTTTTAAATGTGCAAAGACAAAGTTGTTTGCTATTCTAATTTTTTTCTTAGTTTAAATGAAGTAAATTTATTGTGAAGTCATTTAATATGAGTATTTTTACTATGCATTTGTCTTACCATTTTATTATATGTTTTGACTATTTTTTATTCCATTTTAGGTGTTTTTAGAATTTAGAGTAATTTATTTAAAAGATCATGTATTTTCATTTAAATTTTGAAACAACATAAAAAATGTTTCAGATAGAAGTCTGACTTCCCTTCGTGAAGCTTTCCCACATTGTACCTATCTTTCAAATAGAACTCTCTGTGTGAGTGAGAAATTACACTTTTTACCCCCCTCCAAGCACACACATTCCCTAATTCCCTACAAACAGCTACTTTCGTCAGGTTTAAAAAAAAAAATTCCTTAGTTTCTAATTTTGCAAATTAACTAAATCTATTTTTCCTTTTTCTTCCAACACACAAAAAGTATCTTACATCAAATATACTATTTTTTGCCCCTTGTTTTTAACCACTTTAAGGTGTATCCTGGAAGCCTCATCACTTTATACGCCTCATCATCCTTTTTGTAACGCTGATTGTTAACTTGATACAGAGGCGTCTGCTAAGCAGAACTTAGACAGTAGCTCACTTAATTTTCCCAACTGTCCTCTGTGGGGGCTTTGTAGGGGTGTGCCAAATGGATTCCCCCTCCAGGACTGAAGCATTTGTTGTGTTCCAGCTGTTTGTAGTGTTAGCTTCTCAGTTGAGGCCCACTCTGGGATTCACCCTTGGCTCCAGGGCCTCACCCCATGTTGCAGTCCCTTTGAATTCCTGGACAGTGTGTAAGTTCAAATGCAAATCCCCTTCCCCTTCCCAGTTTGAAAGGATTCTGGTGAGGGGGACCATCCTGTTCCAGTGGTCCTATTCCATTCCCCTCCCCAGTCCTGCTTGTTTCATTACCTAAGAACAACACTCCTCCTGCACACTCTTTTTCTGGGCTTCTCTTTCCCAAGGAGCCTAATCTGTGATATCTTATGGGGTACATCCTATTATTACCTCAATTTTGCAGGTGAGCAAGTTGATACACACATAAGGCAAGGAATTGCCTCAAACCATCAGCTGGTAAGTGACAAGAGGTTGGATTCACAACCCAGTTTTTCTGCGCTCTTCTTAGCCACTTTGAAACATTATCTGATCCATTTAATCTTAGCAACTATTTCCTCCCTCTGTCCTGAGCATTGAAGCTGCCTCTGAATTGATCTCCTTGCCTTTATTCTTACCCCCTCCAGTCTACAATCAGAGTAAACTTCCAAAGACTCAGAAGAGATCACTCTCACACATAAAAGCTTTTGGTGCATTATTCTTAGACTTAAGCCAGAGTAAAAGATTTTGCACAGCACACAGAGCTCTCCACTTCTTGACCTCTGCATCTTCTTCAAGCCTCACTGCTTCGGCCCTTCCCATGGTTCTTCTTAATTCAGCCATGGTCATAAATGGACTCTCATCCTTCATCTGAATAACTCTCTCTACCTCTTTCATCTGAATAGCTACTTCTTATGGCTCAATCTCACGTGCAACGTCAACTACACAGAGCTCTTTGCTAAGCTCCTAGTTAGGTTACCTCTCTATTTATTAGTTCTCATAGTATCTATATTTCTCCCACTTTATAATGCTTCCTATGTTTGTGATTATTGGGTTTTTGATTGCCTCTTAATTACTTTTTATTGAAGTACAACCTACACACAGAAAATAGATC